CAAGGACCGCTGTAAAAGCTTAAAACCCCAAAGACTTATATGGAAGGTAGGCGATTTCAAGGTCTTCTAGTGAAGGTAGAAAATCTCAGGGTTTTTAATGAAAGGTAGAAGATAGCAAGGATTTTCGTGGAATATGCAAGACGCCAGATCTTCTATGGAAGTTAGAACACTCCAAGGACTCTTTATAGGGTTTCAACGAATAGAAGACTTTATCTAGAGATTTTATGAGTCGTCCACAAGAAGAAGACCTAACGATGACCTTCCTCCTAATTTAGGATTTCAAGTGATTCCTTACTTACACATGTCCCGTGGATTGGCCCATTTTCCTTTTGCGAGTTTTTGAGTTTTCCCAAAAGCAATTTCTTTGTATTTAAATGTGAAATAAAACTCCATTTAAAGTCAATCCAAAACTCAGATTTCTAGGTCTCTTCAGTAATGAACAACAAAATTCTATGGCTAAATTAAAAAAATGTTAAAGAATGAGTTTTGATTTCTCAAAAAATTTACAATTTTTTAAATCTTTTATTTAAACTTTAAAAGGAAATCAACACCCTTTCATATTTTTTATGGGCTTCGCCAAAAAATATTAGGAAAAGAGTTAAAGGTCCCATCGTCTATGCCAACTAACATCTGTGGTTTACTTTCAGGGCACAAATTGTTGCTTCAATTTTCCACTGCCATTGAAGAAATGCAAATATGCACATATTGAATCACCTCCTTTTTCCATTTTCTTTTCCAAGAATTTGGAAAAGAGGAGACCCTGCTCTGGATGACTACAAGCAACAGCCAGCCAACCAAACTATCCTTAAAGTCCACATCTCGGTAAAGGGCAACAAACAGAGAGTAGATGCTACTAAATGTTACCATAAATTAACACTTGAAACTACACCAAAAAAAAAGTTCGAAAGAAAACAAAGTGGACGAAGCCGTTTTTCCCAAAACACAAACACTCACACACATACGCACACACAGAAAGACGGCCATTTACACGAGAGGAACTTTTTCATTGTTGCTGTTATTCTAGCCATTACATAAACACCACATTGCAATGCGTTTAACAGTGGTCCAATATCACCATCACCACCAGAGCCCTGAGGATGACAACGACTACCACCCCACAACTCTTATCCTGTTGCCCGTGTCCGTTGTGAACGCAGCTGCAAGCAAACTAAACGTAAATGCATTTTCGGTCAACGTTCATGCAAAATAAAATACCCAACAACAAAAAAATGTAACAGGAAAGAGGAAAAAATCGTTTTTGTATTTCAACTCTAAATTATGGAATTGGAGAGTATTTTTGGTTTGACAAGGGGTATGGGACGTGTAAGGTTCACCTTACCAGACATAACACGAATCCTATGCTATACCAAATGGTGTATGTAGATTCGAAGAGAATTAGTGTAGAGTAGTGGCCCGAATTCGGCCATAGAACCATTGAGGGGAGAATTTAAACACATGGATCCATTGGAGGGATTTTTTAAAACACAGGTATCTTACAAATCCAGAAAATATCTGGGAGAATCTCCTGGGATTTTTTTCAAAGAAAAACAAACTTTAAAAGAGAAGTTGCCCGAATTTCATTGATCTTCAATTTCATTGATGGGAGAATTTCAATACATGGACCCATTAGATCGAATTTTGGGACCAGGGTTTTTGACAAATCCAGAAAATATCTGGGAAAAAAACTCCAAATTTTGAGACCCACTTTGGGGCCTCAAGTTCATAGTACCCCTTACTATCGGGTTCGCCAAGCATTTTTCTCCGTTTTAGACCTGGAAAAAAACTCCCCAAAAATTGTGTTAAATAACTACTGGACTATAGATGACAAGGATGTGCAGATCGTTGTAGCTGTACTTGTAACGGAAAATAAGTGTCCAAATGGTCATATTTTTTTCGGGTAATGCAAAAAATGGTACTCTTCGGACGTACGAATGATGCTCAAAGGATAAGAACAACAACAAAACTAAATATACACAGGCACATGCACACATCCTCGCTAGAAAGGAAAATAGAATTGAATTAAAAAAAAAACAGTGAGTCAAGGGAGATTGCTCAGGGAATACCTCTAGAAGACAGAAAATAAATCTGGATGATCTTTTACCTAAAGAAGAAAACAAATGTCTTCTGGTCTTATATAGACCCTATACATAAAGGACTTACACCTGCCCTCCGATGTGAGATTGATCTCCCTCGGGTCTAAACATGTGGTGATTAGAATACGGGTGAGATGAAAAAAACTACAACCAACTTCAAACTGCTGTCATTTCTAAGCTACTCGTCCGACAGCTGTTAAAATTATTCCAGTGAAAATTCATTATATTGTTTACAAGCGTACAAAAGCCTTTGGGTGAGAATATTCCAGAAAAAAAAGTTATTCCATCACGAAGCGTGATAGTGTGATTTCTTTTAATTTGGCTGGAAAACCACAAGTGGCTATCGTTAGAGCACTCCAGCATTTAAATGTGAATAAATCTTTTGAGTCTCGTACCATCGCTCGTTACCGTGATACTGATACTGGTAGCGTAGCCCGACGTCAAGGAAGTGGACAGAAGAAAACAGCAACATCGACTTGATCGAAACCCGCGTCGGAGTTGCCAAAAAATGGCGCGTGAGCTGAACATATCGCAATATTCCATTCGGCAAATATTGAAAAATGAGCTCGGGGTAAAGCTATTGACATACCAAAAAGTGCAAGAACTTACACCGCAACAGAAAGAAAATAGACTCAAAAGAGCAAAAGAGTTTTTTTCGCTTGGGCGAAAGTGGTGAACTGCCGAATTTGGTTTTCACCGATGAGAAAACATTCGTTGTCCAGCAGTTTGTAAACAAACAAAATGATCGTGTTTACTTGCCAAAGAGGTCAGATGAAAATGTGTACCTTCGGTTGTCCACCAGAACTCAAGCGCCGGCCATGGTGATGGTGTGGGCCGCCGTAACAGCCGATGGTCGTTCTCCGCTCGTATTAATCGACCGTGGTATCAGAATAAATGCCATATATTATCGCGAAAATGTTCTGGAGGGTGTATTAAAGCCTTGGGCACGCGCCACCCAAGAATGGTTACAAAATGAGGTTCCTCGCTTCATTTCCAGCGCACAATGGCTACCAAAATCTCCGGATACCAATCCTTTGGACCATTGTCTCGGGAGTATTTTGCAAAGCAAGGTTGGCACTAAACCAAAGTGTCGATCACCTCAAGCAAGCGCATCGCCGGGAATGGGCCAAAATACCGAGGAGCAACATTCGGGAAGCGTGTTATGGTTTAATTGGCCTTTGAAGACCATATTTCATGCCAAAGGTGACCAATTCCGACATTTTTTGCTTTCATTCAATTAAAATAAAAAAAGAAAATCTAAAAATCAAGCTATCAGGTCTCAAACAGTTCTAGAGAAATATTCTTAAAAAACTAGTCCTTGAAAAATGTTCTCAGAATTTCGCATTTCATGGTTCTAAGAGTCCTTGAAAAACCTCCTTCAGTTACACGTTTAATTTTTCTAATTGACCTCAAAAATATCTTGAGGATTCAAGCTTTAATAGAAAATATCCTTAAAAATCTACGTTTTATGGTTTCAAGAGACTTGAAAAAAAATAAAATCAATCCTGGAAAAATATTTCTAAAAAACCTAGTTCGTAAAATTTTTCCTCAGAAGTCCTCATTTTATGGTTCTAAGAGTCCTTAAAGACATCCTTGAATATCCCTTCAATTACACGTTTCATATTTCTAATTGTCCTCTAAAAATATTCCTAAAGTCGAGGGTTCAGGCTTTAATAGTCCTCGAAAAAATATCCTTGAAAAGTACGCTTAATGGTTTCAAGAGACCTTAAAAACACTAAAAATCAAGGTGTAAGGGCTCTAAGAGTTCTTGAGAAATATTCTTAAAAAAAACTATCCAATGAAATTTTTACTCAAAAGTCCTCATTTCATGGATCTAAGATTCCTTGAAAAACATCCTTAAATTACATCTTTAATTTTTCTAATTGACGCCGAAAAATATCCCTCGAAGGTCGAGGCTTTAATAGTCTTTGAAAAATATCCTTACAAATTTACGTTTTATGGTTTGAAGAGACCTTAAAAAAACTAAAAATCAAGGTGTTAGGGCTCTAATACTCGTAGTCCATGAAAAATATTCTTAAAACAGCTAGACTTGGAAAAAATTCCTCACAAGTCCTCATTTCATGGTTCTAAGAGTACTTGAAAAAACCCTTTAATATCCACTTACCACGGCTCAAATAGTTCTTGAAAATATTTTGTAAAAATTCGTGTTTTAATGACTCTTATAGTCCTTGAAAGATATATTTTTTTAAAAATCCACATTTAAATGCTCTGAAAGTCCTAACAAAAAAAGTCTTTCCTATTTTTTTTGCTACTCTTTCATCCAAGTGATGTCCATCAATTTGCTGTCCTTTGGTCATGGTCTGTATATCTGAGACATAATTGTTGCTTTTGGCTTCCGTTCGCGTTTTTTTGTCTGTCACTATTGCTTTGTTGTTGTTGTTTCTGCTGCCTCAGATGCACTTGTCCCCGTTTAAGTTTAATGATATTGCAAAATATGCGAAATGTGAATCAACACTATCCGCCACAATTTGGTGGTGGTGATGTTGGTATCTCAAATGGCTGTCCAATTGAAGCGACTAAATGACCTCATTTGGAGGCAAGTGAGGACAGTTGCATCTAAAATGTCCTCATTACCAAATATTTTTTTTGTTACGAAAAAATACAGAAAAAATGTCAATAATTTTTAGCGATTTCCAGGAAAATAAAGTACGAATGGGAAAAGGCATTACATTTTTTATTAGAAAAAAGAAGAAAAACAGAATAACTGGTCTCACAAGGGTCTTTGCACTAATGACCACTAATTAGAGTAGGGAGCAGCAAGAAGTTAGAGAGAGAGAGAGAGAAGTTTTTTTCGGTTTTCAATATTCGTCCCAAAACACCAATTTACATTTTCACAATGTTTGGCTACACCATTTCTCGTTAGAACTAAAAAAAACACAGAACCGCAATATTTTAAAAGCTTTAATTGTCACACTCTCTTATCCACAGAGAGTTTTTCACTTTTTAACTCATTTTCGTTTATGGACTTCTTATACGATAATTAATGCTGAATCCGGTTTCAGTTTCATCCGTAACCGAATCGCTGACAAAGTACAGAACAAATGGTCCCGAAGCAATGACATCTGGTCGCGTTTGCAACGAAGTGCCACAATAATAAGTGGGCACAATATTCAGACTATTCGACACATATGATTGGGGTATCATTAGATAATCCTCACGTCTTCCATTGGTCTGTATTGTACTGTGGCAGTCACCATCATAACCGGCCGAACCCTCCACCTCATTTGACATGGAAAATTTGGTCGTTTTATATCTGGAAAAAGAGAAGAAAATAAAAAAAAAATCAAATTTATTTTAGGCCCAGAAGACTTTGCGTAGGTCGTCTAGGCACAGAAGACCTTCAGCAGATATTCTAGTCACAAAAGACCCTCAGCAGGTATTCAAGGTACAACGACCCTTAGCAGGTCACAGAAGACCCCCACTAAGTCTTCTATGGATATAAGACCTTTAACCTGTTTTCTATGAATAGAAGATCTTCAGCAGATATTCAAGGCACAGAAGGCCTTCAGTCGGTCTTCTATGGATAGAAGAACCTCAGCAGGTTTTGTTTGGATAGAACACCCTCAGCAGGTCTTCTATGGATAGGAGACCCTCAGCAGGTCTTCTATGGATAGGAGACCCTCAGCAGGTCTTCTATGGATAGGAGACCCTCAGCAGGTCTTCTATGGATAGGAGACCCTCAGCAGGTCTTCTATGGATAGAAGACCCTCAGCAGGTCTTCTATGGATAGAAGACCCTCAGCAGGTCTTCTATGGATAGAAGACCCTCAGCAGGTCTTCTATGGATAGAAGACCCTCAGCAGGTCTTCTATGGATAGAAGATCCTCAGCAGGTCTTCTATAGATGGAAGACCCCCAGCAGGTCTTCTATGTATAAAAGACCTTCAGCAGGTCTTCTATGGATAGAAGACCCTCAGCAGGTCTTCTGCGGATAGAAGACCCTCAACAGGTCTTCTATAGATAGAAGACCCTCAGCAGGTCTTCTATGCATAAAAGACCTTCAGCAGGTCTTCTATGGATAGAAGACCCTCAGCAGGTCTTCTATGGATAGAAGACCCTCAGCAGGTCTTCTGTGGATAGAAGACCCTCAGCAGGTCTTCTATGTATAGAAGACCCTCAGCAGGTCTTCTATAGATAGAAAACTTTTAGTTGGTCTTCTATTGACTCTTAGTTTGTCTTTTATAGACAGAAGACCCTCTGCAGGTCTTCTAGGCACAGAAGACTCTCAGTACTTATTGTAGGCACTGAAGATTGTCATCTGCTCTTCTAGGCATAGAAAAATCTAGACATGGCTTCTAGGCCCAGATGAACCTCGTCGGGTCTTCTATGCACCGAAGACCCTCATCAGGTCTTCTATACACAGAAGAATATTAGGGGGACTTCTAGGCTCAGAGGACCCTCATTAGGTCTTTCAGGCACAGAACAGCTCTGCTATGGATAGAAGACCCTCTTCTATGAATGGAAGAATCTTCTCAGGTCATCAGGTCTTCTATACACAGAAGAATATTAGGGGGACTTCTAGGCTCGGAGGACCCTCATTAGGTCTTTCAGGCACAAAACAGCTCTGCTATGGATAGAAGACCCCCTTCTATGAATGAAAGAATCTTCTCAGGACTTCTACGAAGTGAAGACCCGCATCAAATTTCCCAAAGGTTTTCTATAAAAAAAATCAGATCTGAAGAATATTTAACTCACTCAACAATAGTAGCTCCGTTCACAGCCTTAATACACATTGTATACTTCATATTGGGCGGATATCTCGACGAACCGTCAGCTTTGAAATTAAAACTTTTAATTGTTCCAGAAGCCTTGGTATAGTACTGGTCACACCCAGTGGGCGCCAACAACTCCCAATCATTTTCAATTGCCGATTTGCCATTTAGCATTGATCTTCCATCCACAAGGAGACCGCTCAAGCCATCTTCAAATAAACGCTGGCCCAATCTTTTATGGCTCGGACACTCCAATTGGGTCACTACCAAATGCCATTTAGAGGAGGTCCAACGATGGACGAACTTAAATACCAACGAAATATCTTTCACTCCCTTATCAACATTAAAGGGTAAATAGAGATGTTGTCCACGATTATCACCGCAAAGTGAGTAATCACCTATCTCCAAATGATCGCCACATTCCATTCTTTGGGTGGCCGCATCCAGAACGGGTTGCTGCAACTCAAATTCTTGAAATTCAACCAAAAGTTGACAGACATTTGGACTATAGGCACGAATTTGATAGCTACAAGAATCCGTTGTGAGGGTAGAGGGATTTTTGATGATGGTCTGTTTGGATCGGGATACGCCACCACATTTGACAGTTTCTGGAATAGCGGGAAAGGGGGGAAATTAAGATAAATTGTTAATTTTAGATTGGTTATGGTACTCCTTATACCATCTCTTGCCAGATTTGGTAAAAGTACGTCCAATGTGGCCTTAACTTGATTTAGGCACAGCAGACAGCCAATGAGAGTTGCTATAGCTCTAATCTGCATTCTGTCGTTTTTTTTTTTGGGATGCGCGTGGTTTCCGTTTTTCTATTGAATTCTTTTGTTGTTTTTCCTTCGATTGACAAATTTCAATTGAATCATTTGGCGTTGTCACCTTTTATATGAAGTGATAAGATGACGACCTTCTGATTCTTAAAAAATAAGTTTGATAAATTTTTTTGTGTAGTTTTATTTTTGGCTGCCTATCTTTGGTGGAGATTTCTCACAGCAGATGTTGAAAGAGATATTGCACCCAGTAACAAAAGGGGAGTGGTTATGTATTTTTTGGGAAATAACTTATCTGTAAACTGTCAAAAGAATATGAAAAAATTAGGTTTGTCGCAGCATCTATGGCCTCTCGGGAGATCGGAGTTTTTTTTATACCGGGAAGGCCTCTAGAAGGTTTCTTTTTACAGGAAAACTAAAGAGGGTCCTCTATTTTTAGAAGACCAACAGAAGATCTTCTATCTATAAATAAGCCCTCTATAAAGTCTTATGTACAAGGTTCCTCTGAAAGATTAGCTATTTATGGAGTACCCTTTTTAGCCATTGGAGACTAAAATATAGGAAAAGGAAGATTTTTTAAAAATTTTGGATTTTAAAAAATTTTTAAATTTAAATTAGAAGTCCATAAGGATTTTCAGTGAATTTTTTAAAAAAAATACGAGGAGGCCCTACAGCTTGGATTTTTGCAAAAAAAATTTAAACCGTTCATAGTGTTGATGTTAAAGAATTTTGAAAGGATGATGAGATTTTTTTTTAATGATAGGAATTTTAATGGAAACGAAATTAAATCAGAAGGCCTAACAGCGTGGATTTTTATACCCTCAGATATTGACTAGAGGGGGTATGCAGAGTGAGATGAAAAAACTGCAACCAACTTCAGATTGCTGTCATTTCTAAGCCACTCGTCCGACAGCTGTTAAAATTGTTCCAGTGACAGCTCAGTATATTGTTTACAAGCGTACAAAAGCATTTTGGTGAGAATTCTCCAGAAAAAAAGTTATTCGTGATGGAATTTAAGCGTCATAGTGTGACTTCCTTATATTTGGCTGGAAACCACAAGAGGCTATCGTTAGAGCATTCCAGCATTTAAATGTGAATAAATCTATTGTGTCTCGGAGCGCAGCCCGACGTCAAGGAAGTGGAAGAAAGAAAACATCAACATCAGCAGAAATGGTTCGAAAAGTAAAGTAGCGACTTGATCGAAACCCGCGTCGCAGTGGCCGAAAAATGGCTCGTGAGCTGAATATATCGCAATATTCCATTCGGGAAATGTTGAAAAATGAGCTCTGGGTAAAGCCATTGAAATTCCAAAAAAATGCAAGAACTTACACCGCAACATAAAGAAAATAGACTCAATAGAGCTAAAGAGTTGTTTCGCTTGGTCGAAAGTGGTGAACTGCCGAATTTGGAATTTGGTTTTGTCCGATGAGGAAACATTCGTTGTCCAGCAGTTTGTAAACAAGCAAAATGATAGTGTATATATGTCAAAGAGGTCAGCTGAAAATGTGCATCTTCGGTTGGCCACCAGAACTCAAGCGCCGGCCATGTTGATGGTGTGATGTGGGCCGCCATAACAGCCAATGGTAGCTCTCCGCTCGTATTAATCGATTGGGGCATCAGAATAAATTAGCGAAAATATTCTGGAGGGTGTATTAAGCCTTGGGCCTGCAAACATTTTGGCCGCATGCCTTGGACATTCCAACAGGACTCAGCACCATCGCACTGAGCACGCGCCACCCAAGAATGGTTAAAAAATGAGGTTCCTCACTTCATTTCCAGCGCCACCCAAATCTCTGGATACCAATCCGTTGAACTATTGTGTGGAGTATTTTGAAAAGCAAGGTTGGCACTGAAAAATACCAAAGAGTAGATCACCTCAAGCAAACGGTTCGTCGTAACGATGAAGGCCATAATTCGACTCAGGACATTTGGAGTCGATCTAACAATATGCGTCCGTCTTTCTGGCTCTCGAAGGGAGCATCCGATTTGATCCAAACTTGGTACATCGTAATATTATTGTCAAACTTAGATCGGTTCGGAGATAGGCAATATTCGTCCACTCCTTCTGGTACCGGCCACAAAAAATTTCAACATTTTCAAAGAAAATAATTTACTGCACAGAAAGAGAAAGGATAATCCGATTTTGCTTCAACTTTGCAAAACCTTATATTTGCATTAGTGCTAGGTCAGGTGCGAAAATGGACAACATTGGTACCTCCCCCACAAAGGACCAAATCTTTGAATAATTATAACTTTTATAAATTGTGATGTAAGACTCCGATTGTCTCGAAACTACACACCTCACAATATTTTTATTAATCCAAGGTCTGAAGAGAAAAAATCTATCGATCGACTATTTCTGGTATCTCCCCCACAAAGGGACAAAATTTTGAATATTTATGAAGATCATAAAACACGAAATTAGCATCCGATTCGATTCAGATTTGGCACATATCAATGTTTCCATCGACGCAAGGTCTGTTATAAAGTTGGTAGAGATTGGACCATTCCTTCTGGTACCTTCCCCACAAAGAGTCAAAATTTGGAATAACCAAAACGATCACAAAATCCAAATTAAGCATCCGGTTCTTTTTTACATTACACATATCGCAATATTTTTATTAACCCATGGTCTGGTGTGAAAATGGAATATATATGGGTCCGCTCCTTCTGGTACCTCCCCCACAAAGGGTCAAAATTTTGAATACCTATGAAGCTTATAAAACGCGAAATTAAAATCCGATTCCACAGCCACTTGGCACATCTCAATATTTTTATTAACCCAAGATCTGATATGAAGATGGTAGAGATCGGACAATTTATTCTGGTACCTCCCCCACACAGGGTTCAAGATTTTTCAATACTTTTATCTATCAAGTCGAAACAAGTCAGTGAAAACTTGCTATATCCAAATATTTCTCTCAACCAGAAACCTGAGATGAATATGGAATTTATAATTTCGCAAAAGATTGGATATAAATGTTCGATTTTCGGATTTATTAGACGAACTTGAAGAAGTTCAGCTCCTTATTTTCCCTGCAGATCTGTCTCCGATGACAGTTTCCCATTAAAACCCCCTTCACCAAGTATCTTAATAATTATCCTGTATTTGTATTAAATGTAATCTCTACATACAAAATAGACGCAATAATTTATAACTTATTTCTAACTATATAACTAATAGGCGGTACGGACACGATAATTAATACTAAAACCAGTTTCGGTTTCATCTGTGAAGCCATCACTGCTGAAGTACATGATGAACGGTGCTGAGGCAATGAGGGAGGGGCGTGTCTGTAACGATGTGCCACAGTAATATGTGGGCAGAATATTCAAAGTATTCGCCACAAAGGACTGCGGTATCATTAGATAATCCTCCCGGCGACCATCTGTCTTTATGGTACTGCGACAATCGCTATCATAACCAGCTGCTGTGGCAACTTCGTTGGACATGGAAAATTTGGTCGCTTGATATCTGAAATGGCAGATGAAATGTGAATTTTTATAAATTAGAAATTACTTAGTTATTCAAAATTGAAATTATATATAGAAATCTGCAGAAAATCGTATACGTAAATAAAATTTAAGACCATCTGGTCTTCTATAAATTCGATTACCTTGAGCTCTCTGATATGAAATAGAAAGCATTCCTTGATAGACAAAATATTCTTCTATAAAGGAGGAGGCTTTCAGATCTTTTCCACGAAAAAGAAGACCTTCAAAGCTCTTCTATAAAATAGAATAACACCATAGTTCTCTTGTGAAAGAGAAATACTCCAGACCCCTTACACGATGTAACCTACAAGAACTCTTCTATGAAAAATACAAAACTCTTCCACGATAAAAAAAGATTTCCAGAGTTCATCTATGATTCCAGGGTTCTTTTATGATCTATAAAGGTTTCCAGAGCTCTTCTATGACAGATCTCTAAAGCGCTTTTATGAAAGAGAAGATTTCCAGAGTCCCTTTACGAAAGTGGAGACCTTCATAACTCACAAAATAGAAAACATTATATGATAGAAAATATTTTTTCTATTAAAGAGAAGGCCTTCGGAACTCTTTCATGGAAGAGAAGAAAAGACCTCCATACCTCTTCCACGAAGAAGCCTATCAGAACTCTTATTTAAAATAAAAACTCTTCCAACTCCAGAACACTTCTAACTAAAATAAGACCCATAGACCTCTTCTATAAGATTAGAAGGGCTACAGTTTTCTTTTATGAAATAAAAAACTTTCAATAATCTTCTATGGCATAGAAGACCTTCAGAGATTTTCTCTTCAGCTCTTATATAAGAGAGATAAAACCTTAAGCTCTTATATAGGAGAGAGATAAAACCTTCAGATTTTCTAACATAACTTCAACTCTTCTATATGTTCTTCAGTTATTTTACAAGAGAGAAAGAGAAGACCTTGAGCTTTTCTATAAGAGACTAAAGACATTCAGTTTCTTACAAAAGAGAGAAGTCTTAGTATTTATATAAAACAGAGAAGATCTGCAGCTCTTATATAAGAGAGACTTGCTCTTCAGATCTTCATCTTTATATAAGAGAGAGAGAGGTGGTCTTCAGTTTTTTATAAGAGAAAATGAAGATCTTCAGCTCTTCTTTGAAAAGGGGAGGACCTTCAGTTTTTCTATGAGAGGGAATATCTCAGTTTTTCTATGAAGGTTCAAGTCTTCAGTTTTCGATCAATCGATCTTCAGTTTTCTTTGAGTGTATGAGAAGACCTCCAATCAGCTGCTCTATGAGTGGGGAAGAGCCCTTCTGCTTTTCTATGGGAAAAGGAAAAAACCTTCAGTATTTCTATGATAAAGAGAGACGACCTTCTGCTCTTCTACAAGAGAGAGAGACAAGGCCTCCAGCTATTTTTTTAGGAAATAGAAGACCTTATATAAGAAAGAAAATGAAGATCTTCAGCTCTTCTTTAAAAAGGGGAGGACCTTCAGTTTTTCTATGAGAGGGAATATCTCAGTTTTCCTATGAAGGTTCAAGTCTTTAGTTCTACGAGATGAAACGATCTTCAGTTTTCCTTGAGTCTATGAGTGGGGAAGAGCCCTTCTGCTTTTCTATGGGAAAAGGAAAAAAAAAACCTTCAGTATTTCTATGATAAAGGGAAACGACCTTCTGCTCTTCTACAAGAGAGAGAGAGACAGAGAGAAGACCTCCAGCTCTTCTTTAAGATAGAGAAGACCTTCAGTATTTCTATGAGAATATCTCAGTTTTTCTATGAGGGGATACGTGTTAGTTTAATAAGAGGAAACTACCTTCAGTTTTTTATGGGAAAAAGAGAAAATCTCCAGCTCAGGTGTTCTATGAGAGAGAGGTGTGTTTTTATGAGAGAGATAGGTGTTTTTCTATATTTCTATAATACAAGAGAACTAGACAGCTTTCACTTGTCCTATAAATGAGAATCCTAACATATCTTCTATAAGAGAGTGACGACTTTTAGCTCTTCTGTGAGAGAAAAAAAAGGACATTCAAGTACTCTATGTGAGAGGTCAATGATATTCATCTTTTCTACGAGAGAGGGAAGACCTAAAGCGCTTTTATGAGATAAACTTAAACCTTCAGCTCTTCTGAGAGATCTACGACAGCTATGAACTGCCTCTAACGAAAATGTATAACCAAACACACATATTCTCTCTTAATTTTTATTGCCTTTGATTTGGCAGGGCGAGAGAGTCTCTTACCACTACCAATACATATGTTGGGAACAATGCTGAATCTACCAGTTCATTTCTGAACAAGTAAAAAAGCTGTAAGTTCGGCCGGGCTGAACTTTAAATACCCTCCATCATTTGGAACAAATTTGGTAATTTTCAAAAAAAAAGAAATCCTTTAAAAATTCTGTTAACATCTTAAAAATACTGAATGTAGCCGTCTATACGAGGACCTGGACCTGCATAGGCAACTTTTGTCATTAGCTCTTACAATATTCAAAAGCGAAATTTGAAAAAAATCGATTTATAATGTAGCTAAAATCATCAAAATACCGAATATAGGGAGGTGCCATGGGAGTTATAAAACGTGGACCTGAACAGACAATTTTCTGTCATAGGCTGTAGTATTCATTACGAACTTCAAATGCGAAATTTAATTAAATAATACATCTGTCATAGGATGTAGTATCCAGTACGAACTTCAAATGCGAAATTTGAAATAATCATCAAAATACCGAATATCGGGAGGTACCGTTATATGTGGGCTATACGAAGACGTGGACCTGCACAGCCAATTTTCTGTCTTAGGCTGTAATATCCAGTGCGAACTTCAAATACCAAATTTGAAACAATTCCGGTAAATAATGTCGCTAAATTCATCCAAACACCGAATATCGGGGTGTACCTTTATATGGGGACTGTACCAAAACGTGGACCAATATGACCCATTTTCAATACCAAAAGTCCTGCAGACATAACATATATTTGAGTAAATTTTTATCAATCTACTTCAATTCGTTCGGAAGCTAGAGTGATTTCCACACACGGACGGACATCGCTAAATCGACAAAGAATTTTATGCTGATCAAGAAAATATGTACTTTGTGGGGTCTAAAATGTATATTTCGAGGTGTTACAAACGGAATGACACACTTAATATATCCTCCATACTATGGTGGAGGATATAAAAAGAAAATATCTTTAGCTCTGCAATGAATGACAAAAGTTAAGATTTTTGCGACAGATTTTCTAAAAAATTCCAAAAAAAGGCATTGACCACTTTCTTCTCCCCGTTACTTACTCAATCATGGTTGCTCCACTGCTCGGCTTAATACATATGACATAATTCATACCGGGCAAATAATAGGTGCTGCCATCATCCTTGTAATTAAACGTCTTTATGGTACCCATCGGCTGTGTGAAATATTGATGACATCCAGGTGGCGCCAGCAGATCAAAATCATTATTGTGATGCGAAGAGAATATTGTTCTCAAATTTGGCAAATTATTACCATTTACAAATGGCATAAATGTTTGCTGTTGATGCTGCTGCTGTGATCTCCTCTTCGAGACGGGACATTCCAATTGGGTTATGACCAAACGCCAATTGTTGAGGGACCAACGATTTGGTAAATTAAATGTCAAAGTGATTTCCTGAATGCCATTGGCCACATTAAAGGGTAGATAGAGATGTTGACCCGTATTGTCACCGCATAGGGTAAAATCTCCGATCATTAGATTATCACCACATTCCAAAATGTGGGAGCCTGAATCATAGGTGGGTGGTTGCAACTCAAAGCGTTGGAATTCTATTAATAGCTGGCATACATTCTGGCTAAAGGCCTGTATGTGATATTCACATGGATCCTGTGTGAAGAGGGCGGGGTTTTTAATGATTGTGCGTTTCAGCTTCGAGATGGCATTGCATTGGAGATTGGCTAGAGAGGGAGAGAGGGGGAGTGGGAGTTTGATTAATTTGAGTATGATCTCAATTTGGTTTACAATTCTGGCTTACTTTCACAACACACCCCATAGGAACCACTGCAATAGCCCTTGGGTATGCCACCGGAACTGAGGCACCTAAAACGTGTCATACACGTGCCACTGGCATCCTCCGTTGTCAAACAGCTCTCGGCAATGTTACTGCGTCTGGCTTCACGAAATGATATATCCTCTGTGTTGTTGTTGTTGTTTTTGTCATAATCACTATTTTCACTTTCCGCATTGTCCAAACAAAGTATGGATTGGGTCATTAGGACCAACATTAGCACTATTCCGAGTATTCGTAACATTTTTAAAATAATTTTCAAATTTCAATTTTTTCCTTGTTTGATGATCTAATAATCCGCAACGAATGGCGTTCAGTATATCCACTTATCCGATGATCTTTGCTTTCGCTATATTTCTGTTTGTTTCATTCTTTCTTTCTATTAACCAACTGATGCTGGACTTGATACTAACCTTGGCTTTTATATACCTGCCAACCTGCCAGATAAGAAAGTCATCCCAGACTGGAGATAGCCACTCACTCAATTGTCGTGTTGTTACTTCTTACCACCAATCGATAATCGTAACGCCGCTTAGCTGCTAACTTTCTCTCTCATTCATTCATACATTGATTCTTCGTCTGGGTCTTTCACCGTCCGGGCCACCCTGCCTCTGCTGCGGCTGACGGCCGTTATTTGGACGAAGAAGAAATGGCTTTTTCGTGTAGCATTCTGAAATTGTGTAAATATTTGTAGAAGCCAAAAATGTTTTTTCTTTCAACTTTTTTTTTTTTGGTTAATAGTTTTTGTTTTTGGCCGGGGGTGGAGGCATCTCACCGATGACGGAATTCCTCGAACTAGGTTTTCTTTTTCAAACATTTCAAATTCTTCAATTTTTGCTCGGAGATTTCAATTTTAATAAATTTTAATATTTTTATTTATTTATTTTATTTTTTTTTTTTTTTTGAAAATCTGGCTTAGGCCCATAGCTTCCATGGGCTGCCCTAGTTATTAGCATTTTGTGTACTTTTAAAAGATAATCAAACTACTCTTTGTATTCGAACCATTGCCAAGCTATGTACTCGCCAGTTATCGTCTAATTATTATTCGTTATTGGCAATATAATCGACAATTGTTTGTTAATTTTTAATGCAAATAATCGTATTGAGGGAGAGGAGGACGGTGACGTACATATTATTTTTACCTCTTTTTTTTTTTGAATGAATGTCTATATTTATGATGATGTCCACAGATTCTTCTGCAATGGTTGGAAATATTTTTTCGCATAGTCATACTTTGTGACAATGGAAATCACACGATCTGATATTAGTTCCGAATCAACACACTCGGTTAAATGATCTGTTGCCAGCAATTGGGGTTTTACAATTCAAGATTTGACAGTAATTTGAAATAGTGTAAATAGTAATCTATTGTATTGTGTAAAATGAATACCATTTTCAGGTCCTTTATAGATAGGATCTTCTTTAGATCTACCACATTTGTAAAAGTTTTTCAATTATGGAAGATATGAATGAGATCCTATCTTAGCGGATCTGAAAAGGATATTATTTTTATTTTTTTTTTGTGGACAATTCCAAACAAATTGTGTTATCCAAAAATGAGATTCTTTAAGGTTTGCTGAGCTTCTTATTGGATTTTTAAGATTTTTTTTTCAAATATATGTTGGATTTCCTAAACGTGGAATATTTAAAGGGTTCTCATGCTAAGCTCCTCAAATGTGTGTTTTAATTGTTTTAAAAGCAACAATGAACTTTTAAAATGGGATTAAAACAAGAATTTTTCAAATACAACGCCTGGCTTTAAACCAGTAAAGAAAGTCTTAAAGTCGGGCGGGGCCGACTTTATGATACCCTACACCACTTTGCTAATTTAGTAGAGCTCCGCATAACAATTAAAAGTTTTTATGGGAGAATTCAATCATACATTATTATAATTATAATTTAAAGTTCAAAGGACTAAATATGCCGAAGCATTTGTATATTTTAAATTCGGACTTGTATTGCCCATTTGGTGCACAATTAAAATCGGATAAAGATATATAGAGAGCTATAGCCAAATCGGAACCGATCTCGATAAAATTTGCCAAAAATATTTCTGAGCTGTATTTGATAGAATTTCCTTGAATATCGTTGTTACGGAGTGCATATTACGGCTGTGGGTAACAAATATAACAAATCGGGTGAACAATATATATGAGAGCTATAGCTATATCTGAACCGATTTTTACCAAATTTGACATACTAGCTTCTAGACTCAATTCGGTCGTAAGTACCAAATTCCATCCCATTTGGTCACATATTAGACGTTTGGTGCACAATAAAAGGTAAATCGGACGAAGTTATATATGGGAGCTATATCCAAATCTGAATCGATCTCGATAAATTTTAGCAAATGTATACCTGAGCTGTATTCGATATATTTACGGCTGCGGAGTACAAAAATAACAAATCGGATGAACAATATATATGGGAGCTATAGCTATATCTGAACCGATTTCGATCAAATTTGGCATACTTATTTTCAGTCATAATTTGGTTGTATGTGCAAAATTCCAGACTATTCGGGCTGATATTACACGTTTGGTGCACAATAAAATGCAAATCGGACGAAGATATATATGGGAGCTATATCTAAATTTTTACCGATTATCTCCAATTTCAATAGGGTTCGTCCTTGGGTCAAACAAATGTTGTTTGGAAAATTTCATCTCAATCGGATAATAAATGCGACCTGCATTTTGTTCACAAGAATACATGGACAGACGGACGGACGGACATGTATAAATCGACTCAGAAAGTGATTCTATGGAGATCCTCAAAAGTAACTATGGGTCTATCTCGCTTCCTTCTCCATTTTACATACAAATGCACAAAGACATAATACCCTTACCACTATGTGGTATAGGGTATAAAAAGCAATAATTGTAGGACTTTAAAAAACTACTTTGAGCTTTAACCATGAACTTGAAGAACATGGATTTGAATGGCTAGGCTTCTCTGTCAGAGATTTTGTAACCATTTTTCTTTTTCTTTGAGTTTGATCGATTTTTATTTTCTTTTGGAATTCGAATCAGCTTCTGAAAATTTCATTTTGAAAATATTTCGTAATCATCCATATGGATACAGAGGATATATATCATTTGATACGGCCTCAAGTCTCTAATCGAAATAGTGGGTTTAGACCCTAGATCTCTTTGGACCAAATCCGTTTCAGGACATTTAGAGTCGATCTAACGATGACCGTCCTTCTGTGTGTCTGTCTATGTGGTAACTCTTGAAGGGAGTATCCGATTTGGTACATCGTAATATTATTATCAAACTTAGATCGAGTTCAGAGAAGGGCAATATCGGTCCACTCCTTCTGGATTTCCACAAAATGTCGAAATTTTCAAAGAAAAATATTTTACTGCACAGAAAGATAAAGAATAATTCGATATTGCTCTAACTTTGGAAGGCGCAATATTTGCATCAGTCCTGGGTCAGGAGCGAAAATTGACAATATCGGTCCCATCTCTCAAATACATCCCTCACAAAGAGTGAAAATTTTGAATAATTACAATTTGATGTAAGAGTCGGATTGTCTTCAAATTTTACACATCCCAATATTTTTATTAACCCAAAGTCTGGTGTTAAAATCAAATATATCGGTCCCCTCCTTCTTGTAAATCCCACATAAAAAGTTCGAAATTTTCCAAAAAAAAAAATTTTTTTTTCTGCAAAGAAAGAGAAACGATAATCCCATTTTGTTCGAACTTTGTAATCCTAATATTTACGTCAGTTCTAGGTCAGGTACAAAAATGGACAAAGTCGGTCCACTCTATCAAATACCTCCCTAACAAATGGTCAATATTTTGAATAATTTAACGCTTTTAAAATGTGCTGTAAGAATCCGATTGTTACACATTACAATATTTTTACTGTCCCAAGGTCTGGTTTGAATATGGAATATATCGGTTCACTCTTACAGCGTAATAGTCTGATTTCTCTACATTTGGCTGGGCTACAGGTAGCGTAGCCCGACATCAAAGAAGTGGAGAAAGAAAATAGACTCAAAAGAGCTAAAGAGTTGCTTCGCTTGGCCGGATTTGGTTGTCTCCGATGAGAAAACATTCGATGTCCAGCAGTTTGTAAAGAAACAAAGTAATCCTGTTTTCTTGCCAAAGAGGTCAGCTAAAAAGTGTGCACCTTCGGTGGGCCACCAGTACCCAAGCCGGCCATGCTGATGGTGTGGGCCGCCATAACAGCATATGGTCGCTCTCCGCTCGTATTAATCGACCGTGGCATCAGAATAAATGCCGAATATTATAGCTAGAATATTCCGGAGGGTATATTTAAGCCTTGGACACGCAAACATTTCGGCCGCAGACCTTGGACATCCCAACAGGACTCAGCACCATCGCACTCAGCACGCTCCACCCAAGAATGGTTACAAAATGCGGTTCTAGGGCATAATGGCCTCCAAAATCTCCGGATACCAATCCGTTGGACTGTTGTGTTTTACCGCAGAGCAATATTCGGGCAGCGTATGGCGGCTTCATTGGCCGTTTGAAGGCCATAGTTCGTGTTAAAGGTGACCAATTCGAACAAATCCAAAGTTATTCTAAAATTTGTTGCAGTTTTTTTTTATCTCACCTTGTACTCAAGCCCTGGTCCACTACTGTTGGTACCTCCCCCACAACGGATCAAAATTTAGAATAACCATAAAACTGAAGCATAAATCGCGAAACGAGCATCCGATTATCCCACTATTTAACACAATATTAGGTGTGAAGATCTACTTCTTTTGGTACCATTCCCCCAACGGATCGAAATTTTGAATATTTATGACTCTTATGAAATGCTAAATATACATATGCATATTTACTAATGTAAAATCTGATGTAAAGATGATATATATTGGCCTACCCCTTCTGGTACCTCTCCCAAAAAGAATCACAATTGATCATTGATGTCTGATTTTCTTGAAATTTTGCAAGATATATCCTAATTTTTTACGGAATCTTAATCTCTCTCAATAAAGTGGGGGGGGTTCTTTTTTAGAAAAGCTTAGTTTTTCCTTTTTGTTGTCGAAGAGTTTCGAATGATCCCATTTTTATTTGAAAGCTCAAAGAGATCTTCTATCCATATAAATTACAATATTTTCTTTATAGAAGAGTCTTACAGGGTCTTCTCTTGGTCTTCTCTCTATGAAAGAATTTTGAAAAATAATTTTTCCGCAGAAGTGATTTTAAAAAGTATTTAAAAGTTTTAACGCCTTTTCCGTCACTAGAGGATGTTTCAAAAGCCTTCTAACTATAACGTAGCTTTAAAAGGTTTTTTTTTCGCTATAAAAGTGGATTGTGTAGATGAGCTTTAAAAGATCTTCAAATGATCCTCTAGCTACGGAAGAGCTTAAAGGAATTTTTATAGCTTCATTATAGTTGTAAAATATCTTTCAGTTTTGGAAGA